TTTTTTATTTGTGCGACTTACTTGTATTATATTATAATATTTTTTTGACTTACAACATATAACTACATTAAACATAAATATATCAATTGAGAAATAATTTTATTTTCTAATTAATTTTAATAAATATTATTATTTTTTATTATTATAAAGATAGATATGATTTATTTATTTTATATATACAATATGGATGTCAAATCGAAGATCATCAAAAGTTGATTAATTTGATATATTATATATGTAAAACCGATAAGAAATACAAGAGTTATCAACTTTTAAAATATATTTACAATTCAATAGCTAATCGAAGGAAACAAATCAAAAGTCAAGGATATATTAGTCACTTAGTGTCTCACTATATAAAATTACAAAAAATTAAAGAGTTATATTAGTAAAAGTGATTAAAATACCTAAGTTAGCTAAATAATATTTATGAAATGTCCGAACCTAAATTATTAATTATTAATATATCAATATTATTTGTCCAAACCTAATTACGAAGCATGATTCTTGGCCAAGTAGGATTCCGAAGTACAAAAAACAGCCACATAGGCTCAGCGCATTCGGGAATAATATATAGGGGGATTCGTCTAATTAACCACAAATATGATCACAAAACTTTAGAGTTGACAGAGACAAAACTACATTGTAGTTGAAAGAAATCTGTAACTTTAGTGTGCAACTACAATGTAGTTTTGTCTCTGCCAAATGGAGCATCTGTGGTTTGTATCCTATTTTTAATATATGTCGTTTTGAGAAGTTGCACACAATTACGAATATTTTTTTTGTCAATAATAACCTTATTCAATGAAGATAGAGATGAATTGTTTTGAGAAAAAGTGAAAGTGAATATGAAAAGACCGTAATGTATTTATTGGCTAAATGAGGGTAGTTATGGAAAAATATGTACAAAAATCCAAAACGACATTTATTTGACATTTAATTCAGATGCTCCACTTGGCTGGTCCATATGGAACAAGGCCCAACGAAAGGCCCAAATAGATATGAACGGCCCATCTTCATATGCAGGTTTAATCGTTTTACTTCTGATCGGATACAAACCAGATTGTGATAACCTGGTAAATCATCATCGTCACGAAAATGAAAATTGTTGTTGAAATTTGAAAATACCAACGAAATTCAGTTGCTGTTAGTTTGATTTATTTTGAATTTTGTAGTTTGAAAGCTGTGTTAGCGACTTAGCATACGGATTGAAGTGTGGCTTTGTACAGTTATAATGTCTGAATCGAGTGCAAGAAAAAGGAACTTGCCGGCATGGATGAGTTCAAGGGAAGAAGAAAATGATGAGGGTGAAAAAGCTAGGCAACCTATAAATCACCGGAAATCAAGCAGTGACCAGAATAAACTTCACCTCGAACGGAAAGTAGAAGAAGAATCCTCCGATGTTGTCAGCTCCGGCTCCTCAGGTTTCTCAAAACTCATGGTATTAAGCTAATTTGATTATATTTTAGATGTTTTTATACTGATTTAGGATTTTTCGGATTTGGTGTTTGAAGTCCTTGTTTTCTGGTTGAGTCTAGGAGGGAGTAGTGTTTGCTCTGTCTGGATTTGTGAATCCCGAGCGAGGCATTTTGAGGTCACAGATGCTGGAAATGGGGGCCGAGTATCAACCTGATTGGAACTCAAATTGCACCCTTTTGGTGTGCGCATTTTCGAACACGCCGAAGTTTAGGCAAGTTAAAGCCGAGGGTGGAACTGTTATAAACAAGGTACAACCCTTTTTTCATATGCTATGATGAGTTTCGTATGTAGTATTTGTATGAAGAATTCTTTTTTTGTTTTAATTTTTGGGTTGGTTGTGGTTGTGGTTGTGGCTCTGGCATTGGGATGTGAATAGAAGTTCAAAATTTCCCTTTTTTTTTTTTGGTTCATGCCAAGTTTTAGGTTTATATTTAAGAGTGTCCATTTAACAAGTATTGATCTGCTCATGGTAACGGATGTGATAATGGATTTGAATTGCTATGTTACTTTGGAATTTCTGAATAGCTAAGTAAACCTTTGCTCAAGCTCTTAGCAGTGTTCTTGAAAAGTAATATCCTGAGACTAAAAAGTATCTGTCCACATTGTTAGTTATGTGTCTTTTTTCATATCTATTTTTCCCCTTAAGCACACCATTTTTATAATGGACATGCTGATACTGGCTAAATTCTGAGTTTTGAGGGGGAAAAAATGTTTCTCTATTTGGCTATGTGCTTAATTAGAGTTTTTTAATGGTTTACTAATTACACCTTCATACTTGCTTAAGATTCATGTTTCCGAAGACCTGGTACTTCATTTCCCTTACTTTCTTTCCCCTTCTTATGTTTACTGTGTCCATCCATTTACTGCTTTACGACTGGTGACAGTTGTTTCTTTTAATTACTGTTTTAAGGACTGGATATCAGAATCTTATAGCCAAAGGAAGCTTGTGGATATTGAACCATTCTTATTGCATGCTGGTAAACCATGGAGGAGACCATGCATTTCCCATGAAGCTAGAGAAGGTCTATTATCCTCCCCCTTCTCAATATGTTGGTATTGAATATATGAATCTACTTGCATAATATATGCTTCAATATCTCTCTGTGTGTTGATAGGTAGGAATGGTGGTGGTGAATCTGTGAATGCACTCATACCTATTTAATTGTACCCAGGAAATCTAGTGCTTATGGGTCACTTTCATTTGTTTATTATGCTAAAATCATTCATGTCCACTTGATGTATTATGAACAATGGAGTTAAAAGAGTTCAGTTTGTTGATTTATGCAAGGGTGCCATCTTTCAGATTTAGATCCTCCTTGGACGGTATACTAAGTGAAAAATGCTTCTGTTGGGTCTAAAGCTAATGTAGTCATTTTACTGATTTTATGATGCTGATTCACATAAGTTAGAGTTTCGTATATGAAGGCAGACTAGTAAAAAGGGTGTTGTTGATCTTGAAAAAGTTAATGGTTGGGACACATGCGGTGCAATCACTTTCAAGAATACATCGTCATTTCCACTAGTATCACTTAATTATGCACCCTCATTTCCGCTCCAAAAAGAGAGGAAAAAAAAAAAGGTTGATTGGTGCATATGTTTATTTTTCATGTTGACTGTTTGAGTTCAAATCTCATCCTATGAGATTATAGTTAAGCTAAATATCGGGTTCTGCTTTCAGATATAAAGCCATCAACTTCGTCTAAGCCTTTGAATCGAGGAGAGGAGAGCTCACACCCAAAGAAGAGTTCTGGCTCCTTGAAGGTATTGTCTTCTTTTTGGCATTTTTCTTTCTTTTTTTTTAAAAAAAAAATTCCGTTCTTACTTATCCCATTTACACACACACACACACAGGTTGTTTCGGGAAAGTTTTATAAGTTTTCAACTGAAATAAATATTGTTTATCCCATTGATATGTTAGGTTCTAGCAGAAACTTGGCCAGATAAGCTCATGATAGTTATATTCCTCATTTCTGTATCATATTATATTAAGTGATCATGCCACTTTTATAATCTCAATACATTCTAATCAGATGAAAGGCCGTATTTCTCCTTCAAATGCAAAGAAATGGGCTGTTGAGGATCTTAAAAGAACCATATTATGGCTTGAAAGTCAAGATGAAAAGGTAAGCCGCAATAACCCATAATTTAGGCATTTGCCTTGTAGATCTTCCTGAAAGTTGTTAATGGTTAAAGTTATCATATTATGGCTTGAAAGTAAAGATGAAAAAGTAAGCTGCAATAACCCATCATTTAGGCATTTGCTTTATAAATCTTCCTGAAAGTTGATGGTGAAAGTTATTAGTGGCAGAACCTGTAAAAAATATGTTGGACTCTTGTATATCCACTGATCCCGAGGAAAATATTTTTAATAATTGATACAGTAAAGATTTACTCAAAGTGATTACTTTAGTTGTGAATTAGAACTCTTAAAAGTGACGTGAATTTATTTCTAAAGATATTCATTCTATCATGATTCATACGGGTACCAGCTGAGGATTCTTATTCTAAAACAGAAAATTTACTTTTGGATCTTGTAGCCAGAGCCAAGTGAGATAAAGAAGATAGCTGCTGAAGGAATCCTAACCTGCTTGCAGGACGCTATAGATGCTCTCAAGCAAGGGGAGGTATGGATTTCTGGTCGATTTTTTATTTTTCACCAGTTACTATCTGAAAAAAAATTGATTGATCTACCACAACATTATATAAGCAATGAAATGAATCTACAACTTCTCAGCTATGTTCAAGACAAACTATTCCATGGAAATAATAATTTCGACTGAACTATTCTAGCGGTTGATTGCCATAAAAAGTTGGGAAAAAAGAAAAAAAAAATATAATATGTCAGAATTAGAAGAGCCCCTTTTTGAGATTTGTTAGTATTATGAAAATTTAGGCCCTGAATAATCTGAAGTTCCATTCTGAATTTAAGTTTCATCCCATCCATGAATGCTAAAAGAACAAGTTCATACTAATTGCACCTATTTATTCTCTTTCCACGCTCATATAATAGTTAGATTCAATTTTAGCTCGAACCATATTTTTTTTTTGTTTTCAGGGCATGCAAAAGATAGCCGACAAATGGGCCTGTCTTCCTAAGGTGATTGAGGAGCTCACCAAGTTTGACTGCGAAAAAGATGGCAGGCCCAAGGAAGAACTTTGTCGCGAAGCCATGGCTTGTAGGCAAATATACGAGCTCGAATTTCTCAGTATGGAGCACGATGATGCTTTTATTGACAATAAAAGACCAAAAAATAGAGACATTAAAAAAGGTATTGAGAAAGATAACATTGCTAGGGGCGACACTTCTTATGACAGTGATGCAACTATAGAGATGACTGAGGAGGAAATTGATCAAGCTTATAACAATGTTGTGTGTTCTTTGTAGTTTCTTTTGGGTACGTAAAGAGTCGGTACATCTGATCTGAAAGATAATCCTAATTTCAGTTTTTCCCTCAAAATTGCTCTTGTTCGGCTCTGGTTTGCAGATTTCCCGTGTTTTTTTCATCTGTTTTGAACGTTTTCATTCTTTCTATGTGATTTGAGGACTAAAATGAACGAATCGTCTCAACATAGAACTTTTTTTTTTCATTTTTCAGAAAATGTATGACCTGTCCTCAATATTTATAAGCAGAAGAAAAATGTGATTTTCTTGGTGATGAAGACCACACAAATCCCTGCTCTATGATTGTGTGATGTTTTAGGGTTTTCTGATCATTGGAAGGTGTTTAAGGGACAGTAAGTAAATCAGCAGATTATGGCAACTTAGCCCTAAAAGTGAGGAAGCCATCCCATGATTAAAAGTATTTCATAAAATTCATGATACTCGAGAGCGAGCATGGATTTTTTATGTATAAAAAATTAACGAGTTGAGTTAAACTAAATTTTAAAAAAATAAAAATAAAGTCTCGTTTTCGTCGAGTTCAATGGGGGCCTAGCTCGATGACTGTACGAGTTGCACGTCGAGCTCAAGCTTTTAAGAATGAGTCGAACTTGGTCTTTAACATAGTGCCGAACTGAATGAGTCGAACTTGATCTTTAACATAGTGCCGAACCGAAAAAATATTGGTGATTGGTGATAAACATTCCGAGTAATGAGCTTGTGAATGTGAATAATTGGACTTAACTTGAAGAAAAATAAATAAAATTAAAATCTAACACATCACAAAAAACATTTGTGCACTCCTACTAATTTAGATTCATTTATTTTTTATTTTTTCAATTACTTCGGTTAGTTATCAATAATTCATATATCCAGTGCTAAATTATAATTACTTCCTACTAAAAAATTTAAACTGGCATGGAGAATGTATTGAAATATTTGTAAAAATAATATGATTATTATACATATTTATTCAATATTTTATTTTATTTGTGCAACCAATTAATATCTCACATTGTGAAATCAATTAACGTATCACAACTTAAGATTGGAGGTGCAATTTTTTTTATTTTTTATTTTATTTTATTTTATTTTTATTCTGATGGCATACATCTCAAAAATACATTATAATCAACACTTCCGAGTAGATTTAAGAGATAAATTTTAACTTTATTATTGGTTAAATAGTTATTTGAAATGACTTTTCAAAATTCAAACTGCTATTTATTATTAAAAAAAACTCGACGTCTGATTTATTTGATATAATTGACTAATCTATATATATATAATTACTAGTTCATGAGCATTTAAGAAAACCTATTAAATTATACCTATGTGGCAATTTTAACATTTTTCCTCAAAAAACCGTTACTTTTGATTATTTAACCTTTCATTTAATTAATAAATAATCAACACATTAATCACTTTAAAATTACAAAAATTATTTTAAACTTTTGATTACTGACAGTTAACCATATAATGTGTTGATCGTATAATGTGAGTAGATGTTATTATTGTGGTTACATGTAAATTAATTTTTTTGGAGAATCAAAAATGGATCTGAAATTTCTAAATAAATATAAAATAATTTACAAAAAAAATATGTATCAAAATATACATTACATCCAATCTAATACACGCAATTTAAAAAAAAATATTTCAACTCTTTTAATTGTAAATTTGGCCTCCAAAAAAGTGAAAGAAAGATCATTAACCATTAAAGGTATAAGCGTTTTTATATTTGTATTTGGTCATACAAATAACTTGCAATATTTTATTTATATTTGTGCAAATGCACAGGTCGGATACTAGTTTATTTTATACATCAATATTAGCTATCCATTTTTAAATATTTATCATTTACTCTTGCACTACCAGCTAGTCAAATTGATAATATTTATCAAATACTTTTGCAAAAACAATTAACAAACTTAATACTTCAATAAATATTGGATGCCAATTAGTTATTCTAGAAATTAATCAAATACTTTTGAATTATCAGACAAAATAAGTAATTTCAAGTTCGCCAACTGGCAGTTAGTTATTTTAAACATTAATCAAATACTTTTGAATAATTCAATAATTTCAAGCTCAATTATGATTTACTCGACTATAAATTTGGCCTGACTATTAGCTTATAACAGATTATAATAGCTGATTTGAATAACGAATTATATTAATGTTTGTAACGGATTGTAATAATTGTTTAGTAAATAATGAATTGTATAGTCATTATGTTAAATTTATTTCGACATGTCAGTTTTTTCAGAATTAGCATTTTACTCGAACTAATCAAATAATATTTTTACCAAATAAATTAATTACCGAATTTAACATTCATACCTCTACAAGAAATCAAACTATTCCAATGCAGCGCCAAAATCTAGTATTTGCAGTTTTGCACTAGAATGGAGATTTTTTCCTCTCTAATGCAATGCTAGTCATCAACGTAATTTTACATATATGTAGTGTTGCGTCAAATGTGGCGCAACACTGTAGTTCACTCTACATTTTTTTTTGGTTTAATATATTTTAATATAATATTATTTATTAAATTTTTGTATAATGTGTATTAATAAATGTATTTTTTTATGTTAGATAACTTTGTGTATTGATTTATTAATATTGTACCATATAAATAAAAATTTATCAGAATAAAATAATTTTTTAATTTTTTTTGTATAATGTGTATTAATAAATGTAGTTATTACGTTAAACAACTTTGTGTTTCTTATTTATTAATGTATTATAATTTTATTTCGCATTTTTAATATTAAAATAGATGTTATATGATTTTATTTTGTATTTTTTTTAATATTAAAACAGTACCAAACTAAATATAAGATTAAATATACGAAATAAAAATAAATAAAAAATATAATTAATGTAAAGTAAATTATAGCACGAATGACTGAAAATGAAACTACATATTTGGTTTACTCTACTCTAGTGTAGAGTACTCGAGATGGTCTAATCCGATTAATATCTTTTTAATTCAAAACGTGTTGAGGCTAAGTGTGATTTTCACGTTTCGGATGCTGACATAACAAAATATATGTTTAGTGATGTTGTTTTTATATTATATTCATTCTGGAGTTATGTTTGATATTAAACATAAATAACTTTTATCATATATTTGTTAATTCAACACTCGGGTATTGTACTAGTCTAAGTCTTGTTAGGAAAAAAAAAAAAGAAGAAAATGAAACCCTCAACCCTGATATTTATTGCATTTTTTCCTTGCAGAAAATTCTTTCCCAAGTTTGTGTGGTTTTTTTGCTCTTTCATTCCGTGCACTAGGGTTGCAGCAGATAAACGCCACCCCCAACCTCACCGCTAAAACCTCACTCTCTCTCTCTAATTTCTCTCTCTCTCTCTCTCTCTCTCTCTCTCTCTACATTCATCAATCCATTTTTTCTCTGTCAAGCTTCTCGAGACCTCTGAAATCAATCGCCAGCTGCTGCAATGGGCGTCCCTCTTCCTCCCAAAGAGGCCAACCTCTTCAAGCTCATCGTTGTAAGTGTGCTCTTTTTCCATTTTGATGTTTGTTTTTCAGCTCTATGTTCGCTTGAGTGCTGTGGTTGAATTTGCAATATGGAGGAGTGTGATTTTGAAACCCTAGTATATGTCAGCTGAATGTTCTTCGATGATGAATCCATTAGTGCAGTGTTGGCGATTGCATAGTTATTCTGATGCTTAGATTCTGTTTTAATTTGTTTATCTACTTCTCTGGCAACTCCGCAAAGCTACTCTTTATGAATGGCGATACAGTTGCTCCTGCGTGTCAACATTTTCGGAATAGATGGAGATATTTTGTACATTGCGGGTTTCTGGTGTTTGTGTAATGTTTTATTCAGTACTATGTATAGGCAAAGATTGGAAAAAGGTACAGGTGTTTCACTTTCACCTTTGTTTTCTTGAATGTTTGGAGCTTCAGATGTTGCAACTTAAATATGAAGTGGTTGTTACATGCATAAAGTGATGCTTTATGGTAGAAGTATTTTTAATTTGTATCACAAGTGTTAGTGTCTCATCTTTAAGAATGTGCGTAACTCATTTGAAGGTGATAGTTCTTGTTTTCTAATGCCTTAAGCTGTTTGATCGTCATGATTGTTGTGACAATTTGGTATCCATATATTTTTCCTACACAGAAATCTTACGAAACGAAGCAGTATAAAAAGGGTTTAAAGGCTGCTGATGCAATTTTAAAGAAGTTCCCAGATCATGGAGGTATGTTGAGTTTTTTTTCTCGTAGTATGGTTATGGTGTATGTTTGTTTGGTGTATTTTCGTATTTTTTAAGCAGCGTTCCATTGGTGGAACTATAACATTACTATAAGATTTCGTTTTTCATGTATTTCATGTCTTGGCGTTGTTGGAACTTTTAGTATCGTCTTGATAACCTGTAAACTACCCATCTGTCCTAAATTATGGTGTTGTTCCCTTTATCAGCGCTAGTAAACCAAGAAACACCGAGATTTATGCCTTTTAGTTACTGTTCTTGACTTCTTTCATGGATAAGAACAGTCAGAATTTCTTCTTTTGAACTTAATTCGTTTTTCTACTGTTATTAGTTCCCATCGCTATACTGCTTCTGATCTTAGATTTGGTTCTTTTGGTTGTCAGAAACACTGTCAATGAAAGGGCTGACTTTGAATTGCATGGACCGCAAACCCGAAGCTTATGAACTTGTTAGGCTTGGATTAAAGGTTAACATTTATTGTTCTGTTGGTGAACTTTACTCTTATCATACTCATTTGTTCATTCACACTTGAGCGTGGTTCTCATATATGCAGAATGACCTTAAGAGTCATGTTTGCTGGCATGTCTATGGACTTCTGTATCGGTCGGACAGAGAATACAGGGAAGCAATCAAGTGTTATCGGAATGCTCTAAAAATAGATCCGGATAATATTGAAATTCTTCGAGACCTCTCTCTTTTACAGGTAAATTTTTATGCACTTGATTATAACTGAAGAGAAACTCAATAATTATTAACAAAGATTTAAAAAGATCAAGAAGGATGAAAAATGATAAAATGCCATGTATTGGCGTCTTCTGGTTTCCTCCTTTCTCTTGCAATTATGGACACATGCACACATGTGTATACAGGATGTGGAAGCTTCTCTGTCTTAGTTTATACATTGAATGACTCTTGGACTTCTTTCCCTGGCGTCATTTTATTCTGATAGCGTTTAGAAAACTGGCTTTGTGATTATATTTTTTTCTTGTAAGTTGTAGGGTGTATACATTAAGTTAACCAAAAATAGTGTCCTAAGGAAGTTCTCGACAATATAATTAATTTTGACTTGGCTAGCTGAGATGTCTGAGTTATTTAGTTGTAATTTACTGCTGTTTTTTATGTTGAAAAATAAAATTCTGAGCCCTTCACTTTCTTTTTTAAAGCTGGATATTTCCCAGCTATGAGTCTATGGTTGTTGATAGCCATACCATTTTATATATAACTGGGTGATAATAAGAAATTTTCATCTCTGTTTGAATTGGAGTGATATATTTTCAGTTATTGTAAACTTTTTCCCTATTCTAATGGCTGTGTTCATAGAAATTCGCAATCAGAATAATACTGAAGCAAGCAATTAGCTGTTAAATTAAAGTATTAGGCGGGCTAAGACATGTATGTGCTAAATTTAGAAAAAAAAGAGATGATAACGAAAGACAAAGTATTTATGATTTTGGCTTTCATTTTAATTGACAAATATTAGAGTGGTACCTTTACTACCTTACGGAACTCACAAAAGCTAATTCATTGTCATGTTCGCCTTTTAATATACTTTTGAAATGTTTAAATCTAACTGATAATGTGACATGCTTTCTCTATAATTTAACAGGCACAAATGCGGGACTTGGAAGGTTTTGTTGAGACGAGACAACAATTGCTCACTTTGAAACCAAATCATCGTATGAATTGGATTGGCTTCGCTGTTGCCCAACATCTAAACTTCAAGTATGTCATACATTACATACTGTGTGTGTAACTCATTGTAAAATTTTGTTGATTTTCTAAAACTAGATACAATTATTTATGCCTTTACTTCAGTTCTATGCCTCCTGCTTTCTTCCTTTTTTCCCTTATTAGTTCTGTAGTATCAGCAGAATTACGATGTACACGCTGTATGGTTGATATGCCATTTTGACTATTTGTCGTATTTAAAGACAATTCTTTTGGTAATTAAGAGCCATATTTCATAGGCCAACTTCTATGTGTTGTATTTGGTTTGTTTGTTTCATAATTTGTATGTGTGCTATATACCAGTGGATCAAAGGCAGTTGATATCCTTGAAGCATATGAAGGGACTCTTGAGGATGATTACCCTCCTGATAATGAACTCTGTGAGCATGGGGAGATGCTTTTGTACAAGGTATTGACATTGGTAGCTTAAATAAATGATGCAAACTCTTGCTTCCATTTGCTTCCCATCTGTCATAAAATACAACTTGCTGTTGTATCTTACTCAATAATATTTGGGTACAAATAAGCTTTGAACAGTACTTAATTTTATGATATTACACAATAATCAGTTCATATGCTAATGTTTCATCATTATTGTTGCTGCTGATTTGCTGCCACTGATACTTGGTTGGTGGAAGTAGATGGAGTTTTTTCTTTTCCCAACTCATATAGTTCAGAGTTTCCCCTTACCCGTACTATCTAGCTGCAGTTACCTTAGAGGGGCTTAAATGCACTTGAATTATTCTTTTACTGATAAGTCGTAAGTTGATATACGATGTCATTGTCTACTTTAGAAGTGGTTAAACATGTGATAATTCCGGGCAACTCCTCGACCCTAGTTACATCTTTATGCTTAAGCCAAAAAACTGTAAAACCCATCATATTCTTCTTAATTTTTGGAACTCGTTGGGACTGGATATGTTTTTGGTTTTACCTTGGATTGTTTAGGTTGTATAGTTGCCAATATCTTTCCATCTTAAAAGTAGGAACCATTTTACTATCATTATCATCATCCAAACTTTATTTTTACCTTGTCTAGTTTGTTTCTGATATAATATTTGATTTCAGATCTCTTTGTTGGAGGAATGTGGATTGGCTGAGCGCGCTCTTGAGGAGTTGCGCAAGAAAGAATCTAAAATAGTGAGTGATAATTTGACATCACAGCTAAATGTGTTCTCATTGGATTTGTTGACCCTTTTGTTCCTTTCTTTAGGTTGATAACTTAGCTTATAAGGAGCAGGAGGTTTCTCTGCTTGAAAAGCTGGGCCGTTTTGATGAAGGAGAATTATTATACAAGAAACTGCTTTCAATGAATCCTGATAATTACAGGTATGTAATACAGTCACAATATTAAATTAAGAGCTTTCTTCCCATTCTTACATTACTTGAAATTTTCATGTTGTTGTCATTTGATCAGTCTTGCGTTTTCCCAAGATATTGCATTTTCAAATATATGAGTAATGTCTCAACATATGCCCTCATTTTCTAAATTTTATGTTTGTCGTAGACTATGCTGATAGGATCCTTTGTCATCCACAATTGTCTTCACAGTTGTGAGTGGGTGGGTGGTGGTAAGGAAAAGAAATATGAACCTTTTTGGTCATGTTTGATAGCATCTAGGTATACTACTCATTCTTTGTTATTTTAGTTGGCTGTTTAGGTTAACATTAATTTGCTGCCTGTGGTGGGCCTATCTCACAAAGGGGGGTTTTAGGGTTGAGATACCCTACTTTGCCTGGGTTATTTTGTTGTTCAAGTGAGTATATTTTTTGCCCTTGGACAACTTAGAAACTAGTACTTTTTTTTTGTTAGTTATAATCTTGGCAGAATTTATTGTAAAGAAATTATGTTATATTAACTTCGCAATTACAATTTCTTTTTATTTTCTCATTGAGTCCTTACCTCTATCAATTTTCTTCTCCTTAAACAAGGTAATAGTCTCGTGGGACATTGTTTGGATTGTTTTGCTTGATGTTATTGTTTTTCACTTGGAGACTTGATGTGTTATAAGTGATAAGTTCTCGACCCAATAACTATTGGTATATCTGAGTGCATTCTGTTTTGACGGGACTCGAAACTTCTTTGTACGAGTTTTCCAAATTCCAAGCAACAGCAAGACTTCATAGAAATTAAAATAACAAACTGTAATGTACCCTTAAGTTAAGTGCTCAAGAAGTCAACTGTCTGAGTTATTATGGAAGGAGCAGAACCCAAGATGCTCTAATTCCATTCTGCTGCTAGATTTCGGTTTACCAATATTTAGATATGGGGTCAGTTTAAACTAGATTATATCACCTATAGGTCCAACTTAGTAAAAGTACATAATGTGTTGTTAGATGAATTTTCATTTGATAAACTTGTATATTTGAAGTTAGATTTTAGAGAGATCTGTACCCTTTCACGTATTAAGTCCTTGCCTCTTCGGATGACCCACTTCTTATCCATGTTCGTGCTTAGAAGTACCTCAAAACAACTACCAGACACTTATAGGGCTGTGGAGAATCAGGGTGTGAAATATATATGTGTGTGTGTGTGTGTGCGTGCTTTAAAGTTTAAACCTTATAATTTCATTTTGCACGAAGTTTGGGAACTTTTAACATTTGTATGTACTGCATTCTTGTTCAAATGTTCTATCACGTCAGGCAAAGATCCAATTATGATTTCATACCATCTCTCATACAGAAAATAACTTAAAACTTGTACTTGTAGAATGCTCGTTCATTATTTTTATTTCTTACCTAGACAGTTTCTTCCAGAAGTCTGTTTTGGTTTTATCTTCTTCGGTTTCTGGGGAAATCCAGCTGCTGAAAGACCAAATTTTAGAAGGTTGTGAGCCACAAAATGAATTTTATGGTGCTTTATATTATTCTTTCTATGATTTTAGGTATTATGAAGGTCTGCAAAGGTGTATGGGGCTGTATAAGGAAAACGGTCAGTATTCGTTGGATGAAATTGATCGACTCGAAGCTTTGTATGCATCACTTAGCGAGCAATACAGTAGGTCATCCGCCGTCAAGGTGACACATCTTTCCTTTCTTTTCATGGTTGTCCAAAGTGGATGTACATACTTATACTAAACAGCATTTTTTTTTTATCCTTTTTCGTTTGGGAAGCACATATCTAAAAAATAATTGGTTTTTATATTTCTAAGATGAAGTTTTTTGATGCTTAGCTTTATTACATGATGTTTTTAGTGTAGAGTATTGAAGAGTTAGTGAAATCATGGCATGCATTGCATTAACTTAATTTATAGAAATGTCTTGTGTTTTTGCATGACCAATGTGTGCATGAATTTCCTACATGTACCTCTTTTAATGACGTCCAAACATTTGTGAAGGACCTTAAGGTTTCTAGGTGTGATACTAATTTGGATCATGCTTTATTTTATGTGAACTCATATTGGGCAGAGAATCCCTCTTGATTTTCTTAGTGCTGAAAGATTCCGTTCGGCGGCTGAAAATTATATTCGACCATTTCTGACCAAGGTATGCATGCTCAAGCTGTGTAATTTAATTGCTAGTTGACCAAGTATTTGAGCATGACTTATGATTATTTTGAAATCATATCTAGGGCGTTCCTTCTCTATTTTCTGATCTTTCTTCTCTCTATGAGCACTCTGGAAAGGTTAGTCAGGCCTGTACTACACTCTACAGCGATACTTCTACTTCAGATTTGAGAATTTAAAAATAGTATGGCTAGTTTGTAAAGTGTCTTGGTACTAATCTTATTCAGGCAGATATTTTGGAAAACTTAATTCTTGAGCTTGAGCACTCCCTTAAGGCTACTGGTGTATATCCTGGGAGGTAATTTAACTCTCAACTCTTGCGTAAGATTGTAACATATGTGCTTTAACAATTGTTGTTGTTCTTGCCCCCCTTTATGTACGATTATATTTTGGTTATGTTCAGGGTGGACAAGGAGCCCCCTTCAACACTTATGTGGACTTTGTTTTATTTAGCTCAGGTTTGTACATAAATAGCTTCTGCTTGGCAGTTATATTTTTCCACATGTTAATAGATTGCTTTCTTCTTATGAAAATCTCCTTTTTTACAGCATTATGACAGAAGGGGTCAGTATGATGTTGCGCTCAGAAAAATAGATGAGGCCATAGAACACACCCCCACTGTCATTGATTTGTACTCAGTGAAGGTAATTAGAAACTTGTTTATGATGTTTTTCGCTGATTTGAGTATATTAATGAGAAGAGGGAAAAAGTATTCGAATTATGTCCTTGAACTCCTTGTTCCCTTCTTAAAAATCCTTTTTGATGTAACTTCCCTGAAGCTGATTCGTGTACTAGCTTCCGCGTGTACATTTTTCGTCCAACATGAAGTGTTATCTTGTAAAATCTTGTTACATTGAATTCAACTTGCTTTGACTACTTTGTATATAATTATTTCATGATATCAAGTGTTCGGACTGTGATATGTAAAGTGGTGATATCAAGAATGATTGGGAAATTAATGTATCTATGAGTAATTTTCATGACAGTTCTGATTTTGATTCTGAATGGTGTATTGGCAAGAAAATCCCCACAGGACCTTCATAAAAGGATAGACATCAAGTAAATTTACCTGATGTTCTCCTGGTGGATTCATTGGTTTGGGAAATAGAGTGAGCCTGATGTCCAACAAACAGAGATCTGACTTTGCACAACTGAACTAATGTGTTTGTGAATGGTCAAAACATAAGAAGACATTAAATCTGTAATTCTGTATTTATGAAATGGCAATGAACAAAGGCATCACAATACATGTTGATAAGATAGCCAACAATATCCTTTATGGGCCCTACTTTCTCATACTTTACATGTCGGTCTCCCAGTCGGGATCTGGCATGGTGTTGTATATGCACATGCAGGGTGCAGTTTTATGCTTCAGTAGAATTTAAGCTGCTTTTTTTTTTGCTTCTTCTCTTTATTATTATTATATTTTTTCCATAGTTTCCTGTTATGTTTTTTATTGGCCTAAGTTTAAATTCTATATTGAGCTGTTATTTATCCATCAAATTCACTCCAATGTCATTTATGTTTTTTCTGGATGTAGCTTTCTTATCTTAAAAGATCCTGTTAAAAGTCTACTTACTATGGTTTACTATATATTTTTGTGGTACGTGATCATGACAGAGCCGGATATTAAAGCATGCTGGTGATCCAGTAGCAGCTGCTGCCTTGGCTGACGAAGCTAGATGTATGGATCTTGCTGATCGCTATGTGAACAGTGATTGCGTTAAACGAATGCTACAAGCCGATCAGGTTTGATGTTAACATTCACTGTTTTGTCCCGTTACCAGTAATCTTAGCGTTTTACTATATCATTCTTATTCATGTTAATTTTTCTTCTCTTTTATTATTTGTTTATGTTTTGATGATTTTACTTTAGGTTACATTAGCAGAAAAGACAGCGGTTTTGTTCACAAAAGATGGAGAGCAACATAATAACCTTCATGATATGCAGTGCATGTGGTGTGTAATATAGTCAAGCCGCTGAACACAAAGTCTTTATACTAGGCTTGTTATACTGAATCGAAGTTTACTCTTAATGGTTTCCAAGGTATGAACTAGCATCTGGAGAAAGCTTTCTGCGCCAAGGGGACCTAGGACGAGCTTTGAAGAAATTCTTGGCTGTCGAAAAGCATTATGCAGACATTACTGAAGACCAATTTGATTTCCATTCCTATTGCTTGAGAAAAATGACTCTTCGGACTTATGTTAAAATGCTGAGGTTTCAAGATAGCCTCCATTCACATTCTTATTTCCGCAAAGCTGCCACTGGGGCGATAAGGTATTGCGCTCTATTTTGTTCTGGATGATAATCATAGCAGTCAAAACTCATTTATGATGCCATCAGGATAATTGACTGTAGTTATTATAATTTGTTGATATTGTTATACAAGATGTGATGAATTGCCTGCAAGGCTTTAGGAATCTGTTAGTTTCATTTATTTCTCTCTGACTGTTAATGCATTGTTAAATACACAGATGCTACTTGAAGTTGTATGATTCTCCATCGAAGTCTTCTGCAGAGGAAGATGAAGAGATGTCCAAGTTGGCTCCTTCTCAGAAAAAGAAATTGAGGCAAAAGCAGAGGAAAGCTGAAGCACGAGCTAAGAAAGTAAAAAAAATTTGCGGCATAAGGTCTTTTGTCAGAAATATTTTAAATACTTTTAAACTGAATAGTTCCATTATGCAGGAAGCAGAAGTGAAGGAAGAATCAAATACTGCTGCTGTTTCAAGATCTGGAAAACGTCAAGCAAAACCGGTTGATTTGGATCCAAATGGAGAGAAACTATTGCAGGTATGTTGGTACAGTGTCATTGGTGTAATTTGTTTATATTTACACTTGTGATATTGTTTTGTGAAGATTTTATACTTCTCCTATTATTTATTGATACTTCTTTATCAAGTTCATATTTGACAGCTGTATTTGGTATATAATCCTACTCGTGAAAAATGTTTAACAAATAACAAGTTTTATAACTGCATCTAATTCTTTACCACGTGCTCGTAGGTTGAAGACCCTTTGACGGAGGCTACAAAGTACTTGAAGCTGCTTCAGAAGCATTCTTCCAATTCCTTGGAGACGCACTTGCTTTCATTTGAAGTCAATATGAGAAAACAGAAAATCTTGCTCGCACTGCAGGTAATTTTTTTTCTCCAACTAAATTTGTTTTTTCTTCTGTTTCCTTCTGGCATATTGTGTTTGTCAGCCATGAGTATGTTATTTCATCATTTCAATGTAGTGAATCAGTTATGGTAGTTGGCTGGCTAAAGAATACTTGAAATGAAGACATGAACCAACTTTTCTGGCTATGAATTTCTAAGAATAGATAGACATATGAAGTTACCAAAAACTTGGTGTCTCTGGTGTATAGACACTGATGAGAAAGATAAAGATCCTAAATCCGTTAATTGCAGGCGGTAAAGCATTTGGTCCGGTTGGATGCAGATAACCCAGACACACATCGCTGCTTGGTATGTTCATGTCTTGTTAACGGTCCATTGTAATATGCATAACTGGAGTCACATTCTTATGTAACTGCGTCTGTATATTGTTTTTAGATATCGTCATTGCTGTAAAAGAAAATATTCACCTTCTTGCAGATTAAATTCTTTGCAAAAGTAGGATCCATGCCTGCTCCAGTAACCGATGCTGAAAAACTCATCTGGGGTGTCTTAGAAGCTGAGCGACCTACATTTAGGTACAATTTTGTTTTCGTGTTCTTGTTGGTTGGCATGGAAATTAGATTCCTCCTGTAATTGGTGCCTGATTGTAAAAAATATATATTGTGCTTGATTTTCATATTTTGCTTTGTAGCCAGTTGCAAGGGAAGTCTCTTGTTGAGGCAAACTCTCTTTTCCTAGAGATGCATAGAGGTTATAATCTTGCTGGCTCTGTGTATCTATTGATTTTTACATCCCTGTTCGTATTATTATTTTATTTTTATTTCTTCTGAACAGAATCATTGAGGCACAGAGCTGCAGCAGCGGAACTGATATTTGTTATGGAACCCAACAAGAAAAATGAGGCTGTCAGCTTGATTGAAGATTCTTCTATCAACTTGGTCCCGACGTATGTTTTATTGTTATTCGATAAATATTTGCCGGTTTTGTAGTTCCCAACACATTTTCCTGTGGCATTGATTTATTTTATTTATTTATTTATTTTTTATTTTTTCTCATTCGTTTTTTCAGAAAGGGGAGGCTTAAGGATTGCATTGCAGTCCACAAATTATTGGGCACAAATTTGAGTGACAATGATTCCGCGTCAAGTTAGTTCCTTTCCTTCGTGCTTTTATGTTACTCTGTGATACTCATTGTGATGTTTGCTAGGTTGTGAATATGAAGTCTATTGATTTTGTGCTATTTACAAATTTCATCCTTAAAGTTGGGGCATTTATGGAAACTTGCAACTCAAGGAGTGTTTGGAATATATATTTCACTTGTGCCCGTGTCTAGGAATGCATATTAATTTCGTAGTAACACAGTCATTGGACGAATTTCCATTTGTTGGGGATGTTTTCCCCCAATACTTTATGGGCCTAGTCACTGCAGTGAGGCTTGGATTGACTAAAGAATCTTAAGAACTGCAGCATGTTAAATATGAAATATGTAAGATTTGAGAAACACAAGTGACTTGCGAAGGTCGTATGATTTTCTGACTGAGGTCTAGGGTTGGGATTAGATTACAGGTAGTTATGTAATTTGATCCTTTTCAGGTTTACCTGGTTGGCTGAACAATTGCATGTGTTACTATATAATGATAATTAAGGGCGCGGTTGGATATAAATAAAACCGATTGTGATTGGATTTGTTGATTAAATTGAGTTAATTTTGAATAAAGTTGATTGGGTGGAGGTAGTGTTGTAAACGAACCGAATCGAACCGAGCTTGGGCTGTTCGAGCTCGTGTTCGTTTACGTTCGAACAATGTTCGTGTTCGTTCGTTTATTTTTCGATCAAAAAATCGTGTTCGAGTTTGTTCGTTTAATTGTTCGTAAAAGTTCAAGTTCCTTCGTGTTCGAATAATTTAATACATAAACTTTTTAAATATATGTTTGATTAACTTGAAATTTGTTCGTTCGAACTCGAAAATAAAAGAATAAACTAAAAATATTTTTATATTTTTATTTTTTATTAAAAATATTATGTAAATATATAAAAAATAAATAAATTTATATTAAATTTTAGATTTTTTATTAAATATATTATATAAATATATATATAATAAAATAAAATTATATTAAATTAATGTTCGCGAACATAATCGAACGTTCACGAACGAGCTCGTGTTCGTTCGATTATTAAACGGGCCTAATTTTTTGTTCGAACTCGGCTCGGTTAATAAACGAACGAGCTTTTGTCGAACATGAACGAACTCGAACGAGCTTTTGTTCGCGAAAGTTTGATTCGTTTACAGCTCTAGGTGGAGGATTGAGGGGGACTTTGACTTCGTACTATAATAATTAAAAAATAAATAAAGTTGATGCGAGTAAAAGTAAGAGAGAGGTTATTGGAAATGATTGGTGGTTAATAATATGTGAGTGGATGAATAGTGAATTATTTTTGATGTGATGTGAGGATGATTGGTTGACATTTCATTATATTGATAATACTGAGGAGAGTTGAGTCGAATTAAATTTGACTTGGATTTTAAGTTAAAAGAGTGTGAAACAGTGATTAGGTCAATCAAAACCGAATATATTTTATGGCCAATCGCGCCCTAAAAAATCCATCCTCACGTTGAACTTTCTATGTTTATTCTAGAGCCAATTTTGTAAACAAAAACAAATTTCCAACTTTTAGAAAAACTGTTCTCCCACTTTGATTAGTTTGAACAATTTATCATGATCCTTATCTAAAAATTCTTGCTTGATGATCACATTTTAAATATGTTCTCCGTCCGTACCCTGAATTTCTAAGCCTTTTGCAGGATGGAAAGTTCGATGTGCTGAGTACTTCCCTTACTCGTCATACTTTGAAGGTAGTCAAAGCTCTGCCATAGCAAACAAGAATCGGAATCTACCTGAAAATGGAAGCCAAAGCAGCTCATTAGCCAATCAGAGTGTTTCGACATCATCTTCTAACGGCAATGTCGAAACATTAGAGGCACTCAAAAACCTCGCTGTAAAATAGTCCGATGCTCATCTTGAAAATGACCCAACTCTCCTCGGTAAGTGAGAAATCAATGCTGCTGCCGGACAGAAGGGAAAGCCCGATTGGCTTCATAAAAATTTGCAGTAAAGATGAGATTTTATAATATTTAGATCCCTTCAGGTTACTGGGTACATTTGCATAATTTTTTTTATGCAAAAAATGTGCATACTTTTCGCCTGTTTTTGTATTCAGAGTTGGATTTTCGCGAGTTTCTTGGTTTCTGCTGTATGAGAAGGGTTCCTTTTGGATCTCTCTAGAAGTGAAAAAGTTTTCTGTCAACTTATTCTGCAGCTTCTCATATAATCACAATGATAGTCAATGTAACATTTTTAAGAGCATGTTGTATTTCTTAGTTTATTTACTCCCCTTAGTTCGTCTGTATAAAAAAAATGTTACCTATGTGAAATTTTGTCTTGGTATTGACACAAATAAATTTGTTTCACTGGACAGATTTTTCAGGCTTGTGTGAGTTTGAGTTGGTTGGTTTATATAAAAGTGAGCACAGATTATGGTTTGGGCAAAATTTCTTATACACCCAAGACAAAGTTTTTCACCTGCTGACTAACAATTTCACTTTTTTACCTCCAAAGGTTATCCAAATAGTTCTGTGTAATTGTTACATATCAATTGCATTATTGCATATGCACATTAAAATGTGTGACGGGTTATGCGAATGCTTTCGCATTTTCAACTTCTCGACGATGTCATTCGCATAGTTATAATAAAATGCTTTCGCATTTTTTGGAGTGAAAAAAATTAATTTATAATCAAGCAGAGAAATTTATTGCAAGTTGTAAGATCATGTTTGTTTATGAAATTTTTCAAAAAATTTCAATCATTTTAACTCAACCACTTTTTTTAACTCAACTTTAACTCAACCCCACTATCATCAATATAATTAAATAATATCAATCAATCATTCATACACACCACATCAACCTTAATTCACTATTCATCCACTCACAATATTTTAACTAACCATCACATCAAATCATTTCTCTCTTACTTTTATATTAAATCAATTTTAATTATTTTATTTTAAATATTATTTTAATATATTCACTACCAACTAACCATACCACTTTTTTCAAACCTAACCAAACCAAACAAAAAAAATCTCACAAAATCAAAAATTTCCATAAACAAACATGCTTTAAATAATCCTATTATGGTTTTTTGTGTAATAATCTAAACGTCAAATTAAAAAAAAAAATAAAAAAAAAAAATCTGGAATCTTGCATTGTATCATGGTTATGTCAAACTACCCCTAAAATTCTAGAAAATAATTTTGTGCTACATCTTTGTTCAATTTACAGTTACTATATTTTGTCACAAAGAAGGCTTTTAAAAAAAATTATGGTCATTATCAAATGCTTTGGGATTGGTATTTTGAAAAGTGAACAAAAAATAAAAAATAAAAAAATAAATAATAAAATATAATAATATTTATCCAAGGGTCTAATGCTCTGTGCACATGGGAAGCTATGCTTGGCCTTCATGTCTTAAAGGTTATTAAACCCCACAATCTTCAGCAACTATAACAAAACATACCTTGAGGGGCCGGAGCTGTTTCCTCGAGGACTAGTCAGGCGCAAGCCTGGAACCTCGGTATTAAAAAAAAAAAAAAAAAAACTTGTTCGGACACAACAATTAATTTTGTGAATTGTTAAAAGATTATTAGATTCTTTGGGGCACATAGTTTTTAGTTAGGTATTGTTGTCTAAATGTCATCAACCAAACACCAAATACTATCTTATAATGTGGAGACAACTCCCATCACTTGTGCCCTACATTCATATATATCTTAATCGTCTTGTCTAAGGCCAGGGAACATATGCCCCATTGTGGACAGACAATAACTTCTCTATAGATCTATAAAAAAAAAATATTATATACCTTTGTTTACAATTCTCTAAATTAGTACCAATATTTTGATTCTTTCTTGTCTTCATGTTTGACCTGATCTGTATTAATTATGCCAACTCTCGTATTTTGTGCTTAATTTGGGGGTTATTGGGTCATGCACGAAAACTTTCCTAATCTATGTGTTCTTATTTCACTAGTCTAATGTTATTTATCTGGTTATTGTAATTCTTGCGCTATCCTGCGTTTTTCCTAACTTTTTTGTTCACATAGTATTGATAGATCGACTCGTCTAACGGCTGACCCATTTGTTTGTTCACACGGATAATCTGTCTAACGATTATGTAACCCCATCCATACAAGAATGCGTAGGTCAAATTGAGGATTTGAGATTAATAAAGGGCAAAGAGCAAGTCAAGTATAGAGAACTCTTGTCTACCGAGACGGCTTTGTATAACCTTCGGTTTGAGGCCCTGATGCGGAAGTGGCTTTCGAGGCCCGAGCATGCCGAGAGCCGATGGCCGAGACGATCCGAAAAGGCCGAGAAAAAGAACCAAAACAACGCGTGCATGGCCAAAAAGACGTACGAGAGCTCGAATACGAGGACACACGCCCGAAGATCACGCACGGTGCGCATGCGACGTGAGGTTCAAACACGGACGCGGCGTGACTTGAACGTCAAAATTGACAAGAAGCTTCTAGAAGATTCAAGTCCAAGATTCTAGAAGATCCTTATTAATTAGATTAATTATTATTTAGATTAGTTAGTTTAATTAATTAATTATTAGTCTAATATTTAGGTAGATGTTATATTTCATATTTAAGTGCCGTGAGTTAGTATATATGTTAGTAATGGTTAGCATGTTAGGATTTATTTATTAGTTAGCATTAGGATTAGTTTTATTTAATTAGCATGTTAGTTCATTCACGTATGGTATGTTAGTCTAGGATAGGGTCTTAGGCGGCGCAAGAGAGAGAGAGAGGCGGCTAGGGAGCTTCTACTTGGAGTGCAAGTCAAGACACAAGATCCCTAGTTATTTAGTTTCCTTATTATGCTCTGATATCTAGATTGTTTAGGTTACTTAATATTTTATTGTTTTATTAGAGTTATAGTTAAAATAGGACTAGATCTAGTTGGTGCCTATATAAAGGCCCTTCCTCTTGTTATTTTATATATCAAAGAAATTAATAGAAAATTGAACGTTTGTTCACCAACTCTTGTGTGTGAGTTTACATACAAAATCGTGTTAGAAATAGGACCAACATCCAGGTTTCTTCACAACTATCGCGAAGTACGAAGGCGTCGGCGCGCGTATTAGCAACCTATCGCTTCGGGACCAAGGCGTCGGCGCGGGTTTCAAGCAATTCGAGTTGAGGCAGATACACGATCTTCATCAGGCCCGTTGCACGTCGAACCAAAACCATGTACCAAACTATTATCCGGTTCGGTTCTGATTCGTCTATATTTTGGGTGAACAAATAATTCACCCATTCGATTTGTCGGAAGATTAAACTGAATTAAACAGTTGAGATCATTTTGGAATTTTGACGATCGATATCATTTTGGACTGGCGAATTTGAACTCGAACCGGAGGAATTTTTCTTAAAAGAAATAATCGATTGGAACCGACGGTTCAGACCCGATACATCATATTTAATTTTTTTTTTTATTATTTCTTTTTTACCTTTTATCTTTATGTTACCTTTTATCTTTATGTTACATGGTGGGTACATGTATGCTTGTTATTGACTAAATCTTTATTGATTTCAATTCATCTGTGCCTCAAATTGCTTTTAAATCTATTTTGATATTATCAAACTAGTACGAATGCCGTGCATGTCTCTAGCATGACCACTTGATGAAATTGGAAGGAAGTGGAGTAAATGGTCGATAATACTGATGCACGAGTAAGAAATATTTATTAATATTTATAAATTAAAATTTCTCACTAAATAATAGATAAGTATATTTGATAATATTTTTTCATATTCGCATCAACTTGGTGAATATTGGAATGATATATTGCCATGTAAAATAAAGATCAAATTTTCTATATTTTGGTTGTATTGATGCATTTCCATATCAAATTATTTTTTATATTATTTTATTTTCAGTTTAGACTGTATTGATGCGTTGTTTGAATTGAAATTATTCTTACTTAAAATTAAATATTATATTTTCCTAAATTGAATGTCATAAAGAATATGCTATGGATGTTTCAAAATAAAATATTTGCTCCTAAATTGCAAATTTAGTTAAATATTGTTTGGACGAAAACATGAATACGATGTCACAAAAAATACAGATTATCATGGTATATTCACGCGTTTTTGCCAAATAAATCTTATCAGAATTATTCACCAAAAATCTAATCTCATTTTGGAAATCGAGTTTTCTATGAATTGATAAATATATTATTTTGAAAGTATTGTGAGAATAGGATTTTGTCAAATTTTATGTGGGAAATGAGATCGTTCAACAAACCATTGGAAAAGATGCACCGATAATTTTACCAAGAAAATTAATTTGAAATTTATTCACCAAATGATTGGATAAGTTGTTAATCAAGAAAAAAAGGATAAGGTAACATCCATTTTTAAGATATGCACCTGATTTTTTTTTTCCTTAAAAAAATACATGAAATTGACTTGCTCATTTTTTTCATAATCTCACTAGTGAGAATCCCGTGCGATGCACGGGGATTTCGTAATGTAAAATATTTTTTCAAAACTTTATTTTAACAATATATTAGCCCGTTGATCCGTCTATATTAATATAAAAATATTTTAACATATATTTATATTTTACTACAAAAAATATTAATTTTACATATTTTAGTTCATCATAATACTCAAATATTACTTTATTAAAAAACAATTTGTCGTATAATGTCAATATTATTTATACTATTTATATAAGTAATATTTTTTTATATAATGGTAAATCTTTAATGTATATTAATATTATTTATTGATGTGATTAATTTAAAAATGTATAAGTAAATCTAATGTTTATTAGAATGTGATAGATCTCGATATTTTAGGTACATATATATGATATATATGTACAAATATATGATAAGAATATGTTGAGATACAAAAGAAATTTTTATGTGATTTATTACCAAAATTAATCATCCGCAATTACCTATGTATCTTTAAAACATAACATAAAATGTTTAAATAGTTTCCAGAATTAGTAAACAATATTTTTTTACGGGAAATAATTATTACTTAAAAAATAATCAAACCTTTATATATATATAGATGTGTTTTTAAAGTCATTTCTTATAATATTAAGTCAAACATTTAATTAAAAAGTCAAAATTACTATTTATGTATTTCTATCAAAAATAATTTATATTAGTATAGATTGCAGTCTAAAGTAACTCCCTTTTTGGCAAATTGGTGCTCTAATCCTAATAAAGTAACCTCTCATTGTTTCCTAAAAAAAATTCAAAATTGCAACATAGGCATGCTTTTACATTCAATTAGTCATCATTAGAAAAATAAATAAATAAATACTCCTATCAAGCAAGCCTAACCATTATGGAATAATATTTACCTAAACAAATACAAACTAATTATATATTAACACTAAATAGTATATGAAAGCTACATGCTTATAAATTTTTTTTTTTCTTCAAACTAATTATTCTAAAATCAGTTTTATTTTTTTCGTCTGATTAAATGCTTATTCTTTAAAATTAGATACTTGGTTTTAATGGCATAACCAAATCTTTAAAATCACATTTATTATTATTACTATTATTATTATTATTATTATTATTATTATTATTATTATTATTATTATTATTCAACTAATTAATTGGTCACAAACCCTAAATTACAGTAAATAAATTATCCATCACATTTATATCACCAATATAATGTTTTATATGTAAATTAAATTATTTATATTTATATTATTATTTTTCTAGTGGTCAAAATTTTAAAATGTAATATATCTATTGTCTAAATTATAATTCTAAACTTTATACAAATACATATAATTTATTGGAAAAAACTACAATCCCGTCACTGAATAATTCCGTGAGGGTTTTTAACCATTAGATATCCTCCTATATATTAATACAGAACGCGCTGAGCCAACGTGGGTGCTTCTGGTGCTTCAGAATCCTATGTGGCAAAATTACATGCTTGCTTGGGTAAATTTTAATTTAATTCCAAACCAAAAATAATTAGGTTCGGATTACCATAAATATGTTGATTATTTATGGTCATGTTACATGTATTAATTGTATTTTAATATCATTCCTTATTATAACTATTGAATTGTATATATATATTTTAAAAGTTAATAACTTTTGTATTTTTTATCAGTTTTACATATGTAATATATCAACTTAATCTTCTTTTGATGAGTTTTGATTTAACATCCATATTGTATGTATAAAAAAATAATTTATATTTATCTGTATAACAATAATAAAATTATTTTAAATATTAATTAGAAAAATAAAATTATTTATCAACTAATATATTTATATTTCAAGTAGTTATATGATATAAGTTATAACAACTAATATAATATAACACATTACACATGTATGATGTAAGTCATAAATAACACATATCATTCTAAAATATATAGTAATATATTTTTTTTTGTAAAAAAGTAAACTAAATTTAATATAGTTTTCTTATTCATTTTAAAATTTAAGAATAATGTTTTAACAAGCACCCGTGTAATACATGAGTATTGTACTAGTATTGTAGATACATGAAAGTTACATGTTTATCTAATAGCTAAAAACCCTCACGGAATCATTCCTTGACGGGATGGTAGCCTTTTCTTCCTAATTTAGTAATATATTTTACTTAATATTTGTACACATGACCGAGTTACCACACTTAATCGAGTTAATTCCTTCAACCAACCAAAGCAAAGCACATGGTATTGTCCCACATCCAACGGCCAGGATCGAACCTCACTAAAAGCCACCCCATATCAGCAGCCCTCCAATCGGCCCAATAATACAACTTTGCCGGCCCATTTTAGCCTTTTGGGCGGCAAACACTCCCCCACCATTGTTTCTCATTCGCCCGACCATTTAAGCTCCTCTTTCATCTGCCTTTGCCTTTTATTCTCACTCACACAATACATACATACATACATACATACATATACATGTATATATATATATATATATATATATATGAAAACCGAATCATCATTTTATTCTGATCAAAAGTATCTGAAAATGGAGAAAAACGGTTTGGGACTCGAAACGGAGTTGAAGTTGGGGCTTCCGGGCGGCGGCGGTGGTGGTTGTGAGGTGGAGAAGAGTGAGAAGAAAAGGGGGTTTTCGGATATCTCCGGCGGCGGAGGAGGGGAGGAGAGGGATGCGGCGGTGGAGAATAAGGATCGGGTGGTGGGGTGGCCGCCGGTGGCGGCTTTCCGGAGGAAGAACAGCTTTGGCCGTGGTAAAATGTACGTGAAGGTTAGCATGGACGGCGCACCGTATCTGCGCAAGATAGACTTGGGCAGTCACAAGTGCTATTCGGGCCTTGTGGCGGCTCTCGAGGAGCTGTTTGGGTGTTTTGGCAATGGTAAGTTATTTTTTTCTTGTGTTGTTTTTTCTAACTATTTTTTATTTTTATTTGTATTTGGTTATTTTTTTCTGTTTTTAATTATTTATTTTTGTTCGTGATGTGTTTATTCATAGGAAATAAAAAAACTATAAAAAAATCTACATTTGAGATATAAATTTATGTGGTTAGACATTATTAATCATGCTATTTCCATAAATTTACATGGTCAAATAATTTATAGATTTGAATAGAAATACAAACCATGACAATAATTCTTTGTCCTTCTCATGCAAATATTATCAAGATAAACAATTCAAATTCCACCAATATATGATTCAGTAATCTATTTCGGCCTCTTTTACTTATTATGATAGGATCGGATAACATTCTTTAACTAACTTTGTCCCGTATTTACTAGCAAGGATAGAGATTGGGATAAATCATATGTGTCATGTATGTGGCAAGAGATAATTTTATCACATCTTGAGGGTGAAATATTTTTATCCCAACACAAAAATGCCTTTTTTGTCTAAAATACCACATGTATAATGTCCATAATATCTTTGAATGTCCAAATAATTACAAATTTAGTAAAACTGACTATGGGACAAAAGTTGACTCATGGGATTAAATCATCATATCCCATCATATTCGAATATCCTTCAAGTAAACGAGGCCTAAGTAAACCAAGATGATATAATAGATTAATCTATATTTATGTATTCTTTTTCTTTCACAATTGATTATTTTCTATACTTCTTATATTTTGATCATTTTTGTAATTCTTTAATATTCTTTATATTATATAATTTGAATACTATGAAATGAAAAATAGAATAAGCATTTACTAGAAATAAGCATATTTTCTAAATAGATAAATAGAATAAGCATTTACTAGAAATAGTATCTAAAAAGTTCTAGAAACATTTAATGCATATATTCTTTAGATTTTTTTTTTTAAAATATTTGTATTTATTGTTTGTGTATATTATATACACGTTTCAAAATCAAATTTATTAATTGCTTGCATATACACATTCTCAACTCACATTTTCAAATGAAATGCATTGCTTTCATATACATAATTCTAAATCAGATGTAATCACAAAGATTATTCATTGAATAACTTTATTAACATATGCAATAACTTCATTGGTATCAATTATAATAAACTAAAAATTTAATTTTTCGTGATTCATGTTAATAATATTCTGGTCAAGATAAACATGAAACATATTTTAAACTTTAACCATATTTTTTTTCACAAATATTAACTTTTTATCTAAAATATTTGTAGAAAATCGCAAAGGTTGGGTAATTTTTTTTTCTTCCAGTCAGCCGAACTCAATTGATGAATTAATCTTTGTCAATATATTTTTTCTTAGGCTTTATTTCATTACATATATAAAGAAACACAAATTATTCTTCAAATATGCAATTTATCTTTTGAAGGATATATGACCATATAATAAATTTAAAATATATCAACTATCTTTAGAATTTCAACATGTGATTTATTTGTATATTATTGTCAACCGTAATTATTGTTATTTTTTTATTATCTTATTTTGATTTCTTTCAATGATGAAATTCTTGTAAAATATTTTTTTCATCGCAAAGTATGTTAAATAAACTATAAGGTCTTATATGAAAATTAGAAAAATCTCTTGATTATAAAAGGGATTTAATTTTTGGCAATTGTTAGATCAAAGTTTTTAATTGTTATAAAAATAAATTCTATATAATATTTATACAGAATGATTTATCTTTAATGTAATTTATAATTTAAATTAATTACATTAATAAATAGCATTAACTATACTAAACATTTTTCTTTACGTAAAATAAAAAAATAGAATATCAAGACTACTTTTATAACTTTTATAAATTATAATGCTGACATCATATGACAAATTTTATAATAAAATAATAATTTAGTATTATACAGGAAACAAGACATAAGCCAAAACCGTTATTTTTTCTTATATTAAGGAATAAATATATACACTAAAATTAAATTTATATTAGTGCAAAGATATTAGGATCTCTCTTCTATTCATAATAAGTGTCGTTTTGAGAAGTTGCACAATAATTAAGAATATTTTTTTTTGTCAATAATAACTTTCATTAATAAAGATAGAGGTGAATGTTTTGAGAAAAGATGAAGAGTGAATATGAAAAGATGTAATGTATTTATTAGCTAAATGAGAATAATAATGGAAAAACATATACAACAAATCCAAAATGACATTTATTTAGTTAATGATTGATAAAATCAAAATGATATTTAAAAAGAATAAGACGTAGTAATATATTAATTAATTTACAGAAAAACGCTAACAAATTCAGATTTAACGTTTTGGCTAAAACACAAGTTCTGATTTAACGTTTTGACTAAAAAAAAAAACAAAGCTCTCTATTATTTTATAGGCCTAAATAACCGAACATATGAAAATGACTCATTTTAAAATAATAAAATTCATCAACCTAAAAAGAAGGGACTACATTATACCGCATGTAAAATCAAGTCCCTATTGAATTTATTTCCTAATTTTGTCGTGTAAAGTTGATACAAATGTCATCATAAATTGTAGTCCCATAGACAGTGGAAATTATTGGACTTAGTTTCTCCCATTCTTATCTAATTTGTAGAGTTAAATTAAGGTTGTTGGTAAGATGATAATAATAATAATAATAATAATAATAATAATAATAATAATAATAATAATAATAAATAGTTGATGTAATTATTTGTTATCATATTTAATTTTATAAATACAATGTAAGAAAAAGCAATAATAATATTTTTTAATGAAATAGTTTGATTTAGAATATGAATTTGCAGGTGAGGACAATTGTGAATACACTCCCATTTACGAGGACAAAGATGGCGACTGGATGCTACTTGGAGATGTTCCTTGGGTGTAAGTCTCTTAATTACTTAATTAATTAATTAATTCATTAACTAATTAATTATATATAAACCAAAATTAATATTTTAAATTCTAAGAAGATTGAAAAATGCACTTCTCTTCAAATGATTTTATTCTGGGATTTTCTTAGATTCTATCATATATAAATCTGGGAAGATGCTACGGTCCCGTTACGGGATCATTCCGTCAGGAGTTGTAACCGTTAGATCAACTATTTGAGACAATTATATGATGATCTAACGGTTACAAACTCTAACAGAATGGTTCCGTAACGAGACTTTAACATTTCTCATAAATATGATGATTAATCATCCCACAAGGGTATTTTAGTAATTTAAACCTCGACAAGGGCCATGCCCACATTATAGTTTTTAGTACTCGAGGACAGGAGAAAATGTTGAAGGACAAGACAATTACTGGTCAAGCCAGAGATAATAATTAACAATATTAATTAATTAATTAACTAATTAATTAATTAAAAACGTAAGAAGAAAGCTTCCCAGGGGCCACAATTTTATCTTTTCTTTCTTTTATTTATTTATTATTAATTATTATCATTATTATTATTTTTTTTGAACTCATTTTATTTGGGAGAAAAGAAAACCTGTTCCCCACACCAAGCACAATCATGAAACTGCACCTAATAATGTGATAATTTTTAATGTTGTTGTCTCATTACTTTGTCCTCGGTCATCAAAACAATGACCAATTTTTTAATAATTGATCTCGTGAATTATACAGTCTTGTTACGGAACCATTCTGTCGGGTTTGTAATTAATCGTTAGGTTATCAACGGTTACAAACTCCGACGGAATGGTTCCGTTACAAGACTGTAGAATTTCCCATTATTTTAATATATGATAATTACATTTTAACAGTACTAAAGTAAATTGATCTAATGATCTAATCTGCTTTTGTAGGATGTTCATAGAGTCATGCAGAAGGCTGAGGATAATGAAGAAATCAGATGCGAAGGTTATTGGGCTTCAGGCCCAAGACCTTCTTAAAGGGCTTGCCAAGGAAGAAGTTCAAAATTAGAAGAATATATTTGTTAAGATCTTCCCGGCCCAATAGTCGTGTTACCAATCATATCATTATATAATATCATCAAATATTTGTTAAACTCTGTTTGATTGCTAGGTGATATTATTATAACTATATATCACAGACTCGAGATTATTTAATTAGCGGATTTAATTGCTCATGATATAATATTTTGTATAATAGTTGATTTATTTTGATTAATGTCAAATTATTTATATGTCGCATTTGAATATCATGAAGTTATTATTATTATTATTTTTTTTATGAAGTTAATTTAACAATTGAAGTTTGTTCCTTTAGTTGATTTTGATCATGCTTTTTTAGAACCGCTATGACAAAGAAAAAAAAAAATGTCATGAATTTGATTTTTAAAGTATTTCCAAATTCTATATTATAATAATTCCTCATTAAATGAGATTTAAATAAAAATATATATAACCGATCATGAACTAAATAAGCAATGTTGAGATACTTTATCGAAATAAAACCTTCACTTTAGCAAGATGATGTTAGGTAAGTTTAACAGTTAGACATACATACTTTATCGACAAAGATGTATATTTTTTTAACTGAAATGTATTTTTGTAACACAACGTAATGACTTGCCTAACAATTAGGCCGAATAAAATGTAGTAGACATTGTGCTAGACCACACATGAAGGGTATAAACTTAAAATTTGCATTAGAACTTAAAATTATTACTTATAATGATTTGATATGTAAAATTGAAAAATCAAGAAATGTTTTTATTATTATTATTATTATTATTATTATTATTATTATTATTATTATTATTATTATTATTATTATTATTATTGTTGTTGTTGTTGTTATTATTATCCTTTCCATGTTCAGATTTAAAATAATCTAAATAACTAGTTTCGTTATCCCCAAAGCAATAATATTAAAGAAGGTCGACTGTACATGCTTACTCTGAACCTATAAGTTCATTGAACTAATGTGTCAGTTCAATGCATTCATTGGGTAGTTATTCAATGCAAGCCGAGTAACTCATATTTGAGCTTGTGCTCGTTTATTGGCTCGTTTAATAAATAAACAAAAGACTCAGCTCGAGCGCGACTTATTTTAAGTTCATGGAAGCTCGACTCGTTTAATAAACTGGAATCCTTGCTCACGAATATGACGTGTTCATTTGCAAAATAGTTCAAGCTCGACGGTTCAATTAAAATTCATAAAAAAGACAAAGACAAAAAAAAAAAAAAGTTACATGTGAATAAAGTTAGTTGTTCGAGCTCGACTCGTTTAATTAAACAATAAACAAGCTGAACTTGAGTCGTCCAATTAAAATTCGAATAATAGCTCTAACTATTATTTTCTATCTAAATCATTGAGCTTAGCTCTTACAAATTATTACCCTTATTTTCCCCCATAACTTAATAATTAGTTGGTTAATTATATTTCATCTTGGAATAAATCTTGATTCATCTTATGTATATGGACCAAAAAGATGAAATTGCACAAATATTAAGATTTGAGTTCGTTGAACTTAGGTCATGTGACATAAATTTAATTAACTCTATGTTTCGAAAATTGTAAAGAATTATAATTAGCAAGTCATTAATAAGCATTAATATGAAAAAATAAAATAAAAAAATTATCACATAAATAAAGGTGATTTAATTACCCTTGTCACGTTTCCAGTTTTAGTAGTTACGTGCATGCATGTCAGGCGGCAAATTAAATTTGATTATCTCACGGAATCTTAATTAGGACCAATATATTGTCCACAACACGTATTTCAATAAAATTTCACAAGCAAATACTAGCATAGTTTTAAAAAATTAATGATAAAATTATAAGTATTAATTAGCTTGAAAAGATATGTCCCGTGACACGGTGACAGTAAATATATAGATATTTTTTTTAGAAAAAAAAAAACTCTTGCTATATGTAGATGGGGAAATGCTACGGTCGCATTACGAAACCATTTCGTGGGAGTTTGTAATTAATCGTTAGATCATCATGTAACCGTCAGATACGTAAAGTTGATTTAACGATTACAAATTAACCTCGACGGAATAATTCCGTAACGGGACCGCAGCAGGTATTGTTCATATTGAAAGATTCATATTTTCTAGCAGGTATTGTTCACTCTTAGTTACTATATATATTTTTTAAAAAAAAACATCATTTAATTTTGCAAGTATAAAAATAGGTAACTAGCTAATAAATCCAGCCTAGTTCGTTGGGGTCACATGCCTCCAACAAATTGAAGATGTTAAAGAACAATACTGAAGATGCTTAAGAACAATTCATGTTAAAAGAGAGCCGAGATGATGAATTCGGGGAAGGGATTAGGGCCATAATATCGTGAGCCCCCATTACATAAATGTCCTGAATCCGTCGTTGCGTACAACAGAAATTTCTCCCCGACAAAGCTATGGTCACAAGGCCGAATTCAGTTTCCTTCTATTCATCAAATTAATCGTTGACTTTGCCCCCAAAAGACCAGACAAGTAGTCTCCACACGTTTGCCTATTAATATATATATATA